TTTCTTTATCTTCTTTTTTTGAGGTTTTTCTAAAGAATCTTTCAAAGACAAATTGTAGATGTCATTTGTTCCAGGCAAACATCCATTCACAGGGAGGTAAGAGAAAGGGGTGTGCATTGATAATAGAGGAAGAGATGGTAGGCCAAATGTGGACGGGCAAATACAACTTTCATTGGTGAAAAAAAGACTGTGGGCTAAATTATTTCTGAAGACTATGTATTTATAAAATTAATATCCTTTATGCAAATTTATCAAATTTCAGTTAGTTACCTAAAAATCTTGTTAGTAACCAAGGCAAGACCATTAACCTCATCTGCCAACAATGAAGCTAACTCGGGAATTGAAATTTCCTTCTTCAAGGCAATGATCAAATGAATACACAATCAGCTATACCATCTCATTCAGTCTAAACAGGATGACAGTGATATATGCTGGACAATGCCTCTAATTCACTAATTGACATACCACCTCAGGGCATCACTTTCAAACTGCACTCATACATTCTGAACTGAATTCAAGTAATGCAAATATAGTCCTGCTTGAAATTCAGAATTTCTCAAAAACAAAACAAAAAACCCTGAAATGTTTAGTAAGCAAATCTTTCTCCATTTTTCAGATTACAGAAAGAAGGTGTAGAAATGAAACCAGTTCTTTAATGCCTAATCCTGCTCAATCTATTCACTAATCTGGTAATTTGCTAAAGAATTGAGTAACACATTGCAAACCTATAAGGCACAGACCAGTGATGGCGAACCTATGACACGCGTGTCAGAGGTGACATGCAAACTCATTTTTTGGTTGATTTTTCTTTGTTAAATGACATTTAAATATATAAAATAAATATCAAAAATATACATCTTTGTTTTACTATGGCAAATATCAAATTATGATTCATAACAGTAGCAACATTACAGTTATGAAGTAGCAACGAAAATAATTTTATGGTTGGGGGTCACAACATGAGGAACTGTATTTAAAGGGCCAGAAGGTTGAGAACCACTGTCTAAGGCAGTGATGGCGAACCTATGACACGCTTGTCAGAGGTGACACGCGAACTCATTTTTTTGGTTGATTTTTCTTTGTTAAATGGCATTTAAATATATAAAATAAATATCAAAAATATACATCTTTGTTTTACTATGGTTGCAAATATCAAAAAATTTCTATATGTGACACGGCACCAGAGTTAAGTTAGGGTTTTTCAAAATGCTGACACGCCGAGCTCAAAAGGTTCGCCATCACTGGCATAGACTCTCTCACTATTAGGCTGGCATTCACTAACATTTACAATAATGTGAAAATAGGATTTTGCAGTAATACTTCATTTGCTCTAGCCAAGTTTTACTCTAAAATATTGAGGAAAATTCAGCACTTGTCTAACATGTCTGTATGCTTTTGACTGGTTAACATGTTAATCAAGAAAAGGGCTGTGCTGTCCAACTATTAGATAAGCTATTTGGAAAAGAAAAAATATTTGTCTATGAATTTGTGGATGAAATGTTTCCAAGAAGAAATTACAAATGGACCCTATTTTAGTTCTTTCCTATTTTGAATGACAGACCTAACATTCTCAGGAACCTTAAGAATATAATGACTATATCTTTCAAAGCCTCCAGGGATTATTGTACATTAACGTATCAGAGTCAGCAAATTATTTATCTATAAGTTAATCTAATTTCCACCCCCTTCCATTTGAAAGCTAAACTTCTGAGTCTCCACTTCAGCAACTTTATATCTGAAGCACCTACATCTGTAAAAACATTTCTAATGAAAACACAAAGACAACCCCCCGAGAAGCAAATAAGAGATTTAAGTATATAGCAGCCTTCCTACAATTACATTCCTAACAGTGGATTCTAATTGGATGCCAAATAGAGGTTATATAACAGAATCAGTGGGCACTCTAGTTCTTTTGGTTTCAGTGAAAAAATGTAGATGCTTACACAAATCTGCATTTCCCCATTCACACCAGGCTGGGTATGACATCTTTGAGTAATGGAAGCGGAGGGCCCACTGGATAGGAAGAAGCGTAATTTGACTGTGCTCTGGGGCAGGTGGCAGGAAAGTCCATGCTGAAAAGTCTGGGCTCCAAGGCCTATGTCACAGTTGCCAAAACACAAATATCAAAGACAGATTGAAATTTCAAGTCATAACATACTAAAATTATTCAACCAGACTTTATTCAGCATCCCCACACAAATCATTTTATCAGTTAATAAGACCATAAGACGATAGCCAACAAAAAGATACTAAGCCTATGTTAGGGAACTAGTAACTCATTGTGAAAAAGTCTAACATATATGCATGGTCTGGGCTATCTGCTATATTAAACAATCAGTGGTTTTGTTCTTTTTTGAAAGGTTAACAAGACCTTGATTTTATAAACCTGAAAGCAGTACAGTTCCACATTTCAAGGTCCTCCAGTTTCCTTTAGAGGACAGGATGAAAATGTCGCCATTAATTTTCACTTATTTCATATTTTGTTCAAAAAGGTGCTACAGACATATAATGAAGTATCTAAGCCATTCATTCCTGCTTCAAGGACTGAGAAGATACTATCTTAAAAAATGGATTGACAGGCAACTCGTGTGCTGAAAACTTTTAGCATAAGAATAGTGGGTAGCAGATTTGAGGCAGAGTTTGAAGCAAACTTTTCTTTTTGTGGTAAAAGAATATATATGACATAAAGTGTTAACCATTTTAAGTGAATAATTTAGTGGCATTAAATATATTTACAATGCTGCAGAACTATTTCCACTATCCATAATCCAGACAATATACAAGCTTTTGTTCATTTAACTTTTCCATCACCATTTATCCCCTCTATGCCCTCTTCTACCTCCATCCACCCTCCACCTACCCTTCTCCTCCCCCTCACAATCCCCACACTGTTGTCCATGTCCATGAGTTTTTTGTTTTTTTTTTCTCAATCCCTACACCCACACCTCCACCCCCAGACCTGTCTGCCTGCTATCTATGAGTCTGTCTCTTATTTTCCTTGGTCACAATCCCCACACTGTTGTCCATGTCCATGAGTTCTTTTTTTTTTCTCAATCCCTACACCCGCACCTCCACCCCCAGACCTGTCTGCCTGCTATCTGTGAGTCTGTCTCTTATTTTCCTTGACAGTTCAATTTGTTCATTAAATTCCACATATGAGTGAAATCATATGGTACTTGTTCTTTATGAATGCAGCAAATAATGAGTGCCTACACGAGGCAGGCACTATTTTATTTTAGTCTTGGCATACAGCAGAAAGAGAGACCTCATTTCTGTCCTCATGAACCTTCTGTCTGGTAAACTATGCTTCTCAGTATCCCCAAACTCTATGAAACATGTGGGAAAGTGTACCATTTTTATAAGAAACCAATGGCGCATACCTGGTGTCAGTAACCCATTTTCAAAATTACAGGATTGCTCAGAGATGTTGCAGCAGAACATTATCTTCTTTCACTATTATTTTTGGTCACTGCTTTATTAGGTAGCAGATGGTAGAAGAGTTGGGCTATATTCTTACCTGATGGACAAACGTTATATCCTTATGTCGGCCTCCTGCATCTCTATTATTTAGTTCAACATCTGATAAAATGTTATATACCACAGAAACTTGTTATAAAAATACTTTGTTTTCTAATATTTCCCATTTTAAATACCAATTTGAGATTTCATATATATGAAATGTCTGGAATAAGCAAATCCATGGAGTCATAAAGTAGATTAGTGGTTGTTAGGGGGTGAGAAGGGGGAGAATGGGGAGTGATTGCTAATGAGTATGGGGCTTATTTTGGGGATGATGACAATGTTCCCGAATTAGATAATAGTGATGGTTGTACAACTGTATGAATATACTAAAAACTATTGAACTGTAATGTTCCCGAATTAGATAATAGTGATGGTTGTACAACTGTATGAATATACTAAAAACTACTGAACTGTGTATTTTAAAATGGTGAATTTTATTTTTGGTATGTGACTTTATTTTTAATGGGGATGTGCCTGCAACCAAGGTACATGCCCTTGACCGGAATCGAACCCGGGACCTTTCAGTCCGCAGGCCGACGCTCTATCCACTGAGCCAAACCGGTTTCGGCTGAACTGTGTATTTTAAAATGATGAATTTTATTTTTGGTATGTGACTTTATTTTTTAAAAATCAAGTATTCAGTCAAGCTGGACATAATAGTAGTGAGAAGTCAAATTTCAAAAGTCCACACATCCTAGCAGAGGACCCTTCTTATAGAATGCAAGAACCAGAGCAGTCCATTCTGAGGTGGCCGAGGACATGCAGTATGTATTGGGATTATCTGAGAACTCAGATTCAGGCAGGGCAGTATCTGGACAGAGCGGTGAGTGAACAAGAAAGTCATCTGATCACACTAGATGATCTACTCTTAAGATGTTCTGGGCCCCAATACATACTTAAGTCATCCTCAAACTCCCACATCTGCTAGAAGCAACAGGAATCGGCTGTCGATAGAAAGTCCTGGATATACCTATATAGGAACTCTTCAAGTTTATACAGACATGGCACCACGTATACCTGGTAGACATGGTACACCCCTCCCATACAGTGTGTGCCAACCTTAGACGTGGAAACTAGACTTTCTCCATGAAAAGGGAATCATATTTTAAAGATGAATTTTATTCCACATTAAAATAGTTGATGAAAGATCTGCAGTTATATGTAGTAATGAGGAAATTTATACATTCACCACTCACTTGCTCAATTCATTCATCTACTGTGGTCATACTCGACTCCCAGGGATTGGCACTATTTTAAAGCAATCAGTATAAATATGTTAAATACCACATACAAATGAAATGGCTGTTGCTGAAGGTGTTAAAATTTCACACTTCCAATTTTAAAAAAGACACTTAAAAAAGCATATACAATGTAAGCACTTACAAACCAAAGATACAAAATGACTTGATAGGGGAAGTGTCAAGCACTGGCCCACTTGGTTTAGAACAAACGTAACAGACTGCTCAGGAACTCAAACATGCATACAATTACCATTTTATTTGTTAAAATACATAGCCAAAAGATAGCTTTACAGCAGGCAAAATAAACCACACATCCATTTTAGGAAAGTCCTTTTTGTTTCTTTAAATCTAAGGCCCCCTCTAGTGTTTGAGAAGAGTCACACACAGTACACAATGCAATTGAAGGCAGTCACTATATTTTAACCGAGACTTTCCGAAACAAAAAGAATACTCTGTTCAATTCACGTGGCACGAAATTCGGTAAGAGATAATGCCTAACCATAATTAATGTTTCAAATTCTTGTTATGATTCACATATTCATTATTTTCTCATTCAGTAATTTCTTTCTCTGTTATTTACTGCTGGGTTGTTTTTAGATTAATACTTTGTTAATAAAGAAAAAAACCATATAATGCATGCAGGGACTTTAATTTCCCAAACAAGAAACATACCTCCTTGGAAAGCAACAGAAAATTAATTTAGTGTTACCAAATGGCCTATTATTCTGCTTTTACAGAAGTTATCAGTAAATAGTATGTATCCCACCTGAAGTACATACTTAAATTTATTATATTTGGGAATCAGAAATTTCCAACTATATATATTTAAAGACTCACCAAATTGGGACATTTCTAATAAGCCTTTTCAGTACCCTTTAAAAGGACGCGGGAAGTGCTCTGAGGACAAATGTTGGCTCTGAAGAATATGATGTAAAGGAATTCTTAAGTTTATACAAACATGGCACTATGTAAATCCAATGATTTAATCTCATGTACTTTTTAAAAAGACTGATTAAAATTAGAGGGAGAAAAAAATTTTTTCATTCTATTTTCCCAGCTAAAGTCTTTTTTTAAAAAGTACCTATTTCTATATTACAGAGTTAACTAGTCATACTATTACTGAAAAATAAAAAGAAATCTCTATTTTCAACAAAAGAAAATGATGCAATCTTGAGCAAGAGGCTGACAAAGACCTTATTAAGCTGCTACTTCACATTCTTAAAAGTTAAGAGCACACCGAAAATTTGAAAATTCAATAGGGCTTGAAACAAGTTTAATCTATATAAACTTTAAATAAACGACTAACTTGTCTCTCAATATTACCATATGGCTTCTTTGCATTTATCCTGTTTTCAAACGTGTCACTTGCTAATGTTAGAAGTAAAAAAGACAGGACATCTAAAACGAGTTAAATACAATTCTTTACATTTGCAATTTGTCTAAACAATTAAGATATCTATATTCAAAATGAATAGGACACATTTTTAAAGTGCAACATGTACTCTTTTGGCTCAACATGAAAATATATAACTGCAGTCATTTCTCCTAGGACAAATTTAATGAAAAGCTGTTTTGAAATCTCAGCCATGAAATTATAAATTACAAGGAACACTGAAAAGGCATTTAAAATGAGTATATAAAATGCAATTACAAATAAAACCAGAATGGGAGAGGTAGCACAAAGTAAATAAAATCAAATAAATACTATACAATAGCATATAAAATTTTTGCTTATAAAAAAACTGAAAATTGCATCTTAAAACATCCAGTTTGCCCTTCATTTAAGGGTTTTACAATGAAATTAAAATTTAGACCTGAAGTCTGTAAAGATTTTCCAAATGTTATTAATTACTGGTATTGCTTTTTGCCAAAACCTCTCTGATCTGTCGGTCAAGTTCACTTATTATTCGATCCTCGTGATTATACACACCCGTCCTCATCAAAGTATCCCTCTCTTCTATTAGGCGAGTCAAATAATCATCCAAACCTTCTTCCAGGGCATCGCCATGTGGACCATTCACTTTTCCACTTGCAATCTCTCTGGAATCCTGGCACTGTTTTTGTTCTTGTTGCCTTAACCTGAGAAGTCAAGAACAAACACTACTCTAGTAGGCAACAAATATTGTTTTGGTTTTCTTAACAATGCCATTTAAAACAAAATGATTTAATGGTAAAACACGTTTTTAGTCATATTTTCAGGAAGAAAACGAAAACCATTGTTACACTTGGCAAGTCAGAGTTAGCACACTTATAAAAGACAGTTTTAAAAACAATACTTGTTTTTATAATAATAAAATACATGAAAACTGTAGGAATTTTGGAAATGTTAAAAAAAAAAGAAAATCATCATAATCTTATCCAGGGATAACCAATCTGAGCAATAATTTTTTTTCAATAAAAAAATGCATATATATTTTAAATACATATTTTTCTGAAAAAAATATTACATGCAGTGCTGTACACTATTTTTTTTCACTTATTAATATAATGAATGTTTTTGCCAGGGCATCATTAAGTGTTCTTCTAAATGGCTTCATAACATCCCATCATTTAGATGCCCCATTATTTAACCATCCTTTATTGTTGACCTTTAGCTTGTTAAACCTCTGATATTATTACTATTCTGACATAACATTTCCTTCTAAATTCACTCAAGAAAACTTTTATATGTACCAAACAGTGCTGGTTTTGGGGGACACTGCAATGAATCAAGAAGAAAAGACCTTACCGTTATAAAGTTTATTTCACTAATTACTCTAGGAAGTGAAATTCTATAGATGTGAATGCCTGATTCAAAGGGATTGTACATTTTAAGACTTTTACAGTTATCTTCAAATAATGTTTGTGATGGCACAATTTGTAAAGGCCAGGATCATGTTCTAATTAATTTGTAACATCTTCCAAGTCTGCAACACAGCAAATAAATATTTGCTGAGTTAAAAAGCCTTATAGCATGGCCCTGTAGACCTTGACCTTTTCCAACTGATACTTATATATTAACTAGAGGCCCGGTGCACAAAAATTTGTGCACTCGGGGGGGGGGGGGGGTCCCTCC